ATATATATATATATATATATATATATATATATATATATATATATATATATATATATATATTAGTTTAGGAAAGGGGATTACCTTGGAAGTATTGTGATACAGACAAGTGTATTATGTAGTGGACTAGTGGTAACTGAATTGTATATATATAACCACAGTAAAATCATTATTTTTAAAACTAATAACTTTTTGCTAATGTCATCCGGTGTTTACTAATAAAAGAAAACTCATATTCAGCTAATATTTTCTCCTGTACCACTGAACTAATTTAGGTCAACTAGGTTCAAATGATAAGCATCAATAGATTGAAAGCACTTAAATTTATGAAATGAATATCTATATTCCATTTTTTCTTGGGAGGGGGGGGGGTATTGGAAAGAAATAAAAACATAATTTAGAGTTTTGAAAAAACTTATGGAACCAGTTGACCTTTTAATTGCAAGTTTTTAAATTTAAAGAATATCTAAGATCAATACGGTCTCAACTTTGTGTTGTATACTTCTGTTTATAGAATGAAATTCGGCACTTTGAAGCCAAACTCGGAAAGAAACAGAAACAGAATTGGATTAGCTGATATAGAATTAGACAGGAAAAACACGTAAATAATATACTTTAATAGTAAAAACGTTAACTTTTTAAAGTAAAATGATAAACCATCGAGATTTCTTGGAAGTTAATTGATTCCAATAAACATGCTTTGCATCATTGCTCAAGCCCAACTAGAAATTGTTCCAAGTATATGAAGGCAAAGCTGTGTAATATTACTTAGTATTATATTTTATTTTTATCACTTTTTCAGATTATGAGAATACATTATTACAGTACAGACCATTGATGCTGGAAGTGAGTGGATAGTGTTACCGGAGACTCAGGAATCCAGAAAATAGATCCATTAATTGTACAGTGTATTCATGAAAGTGGATCAAATAAAAATGTTTAATCGAAAAGTAACATTCTTGGTTTGTCTGTTGGCATTTTTTGTTGATGTTAATCTAATAACTATCAATTTTTGGCATGCAGATTCATAATTAGATAGTAGAAGAATCTGAAACATATCTTTATATTCTGCATTTTGAAGTGTCATAATTAAAACGAGGTCAATATTAAATGATCAATCAATTAATTTCATAACTGACAAAATGTTTTTGTGAGAAAAAAGAAAGAGGTTTAATTTAAAGTCAGATGACACATTCCTCAAATTTATGTTTTGTATCTCTAAGGCATTATAAAAAAAATATTCATTATTTGTCATTCTCCTCTGATTTCTACATTGTTTTCAAAATGTTTTTAAATATAAATACAACAAAAATTTCGATATATGCCATTCAAAAGATTACCCATTAGGGTTATTAATATAAAATATCTTTTAGGGTCAGTTCAAGTTTAGACATTCATATACATATATACATGTATAATTATATAGCCCTTCCAGATTTTTATTATAGGTACCAGTAGCTACTGAGGTCTTAGCTGTCTTGCAATATTGTTTCTTAATTAGGACAGCAGGAGAATATATCGTAGGTTCAATACCAAAGGTTGCAGTCATTCGTTCTGACAGACATGGTGTCATTTTGAAAGTGCATGGTGTGGGGTAGTCATAAATAAACTGCAAGAAAAAAAGTGGAGAAATTCTCCAAACTCAGGTTGCGGGGGGGGGGGGGGTTAAACATCAGGTTATGTTGAGAAAAAATTGGAGTTGGGGATGTCAATCCCCCCCCCCCACCACCAAACCCAAACCTTATGCTACATGCCTTATTGATATGGTTTTATATTAAAATTATGTTAGCTGTCACAGTGACTCTCTCTCATAAACTAGAATTATTATGATCGAGCTCATAAAATGATATCAACCCTCCTGGTATAACATTAAACGTTTTTTGTTATTACAAAAAAGGTCCAAATATTTATTTAAAACCTTTTTAAGGTTTCGCTACTGCTGATTTACATACCCAAATGACTATGACATATACTCAAGTCACGATAGGTAGAAAACCTTTGTGTAGAACACAAACTTCCAATTTCTCTTCATTCGAAGTTAAAAATGTTAATGTACCAAACTCATAATTTTACTGCAGTGACCTTGAAAAAGCTATGTTGTTGACTCAAGGTCAAACGTGTCCAAATGAATTTTTGGTCAAGGTCATAACAAACCCACAGCTCAAATAATAATCCCCTAGATGAAACTTCAAGTCTTTTCATTAGAATATTACAGAATGGGCAAAGATTGCACTACTCTTCTACCAATGACCTTGAACTTGTTTAAATGACCTTGGGTCAAGTTTTGGACACATCTCCAGATCATAAGCAATCATAATATCAAGTGGCACTTCATTGAAATGTAATGGACAAGTCAAAATTTTACATACATATGGATATGTGACAAGGTGATTACTATAACCCCCCCCCCCTCTTTTATTTCCAAGTTTCGTTTGTGAAGAATATGAATTCCTTTTGAAATTTAATGTGCATTTATTTATCAACAATAGTAAAATTATGAGTATGCTTTGATCAGACCAATATGACTGATATAATGGACACTGTACATGTATTCAATTTACCTCCACCCCTTCAAAAAAGCTTATAAATGCCAGATTGTCACACATTTTAACCATTTGTAACTTTTTTCTGCTAGAGTTGCCTGCACATTTTATTGTAGAAATATGACATATAGATAACACCTAACAAGATCACAGCATTCATTTTTCCAGCTGTGGTTGTAGATTTTGTGTATATGGTGATAAACATATGCAATTCTTTTCAAAAGTAAAAAGCATTGACGCCATGTTCTTTTCCCGTTGTCATGGCAACAATATCACTACAGAAATTTTGTTTTTCCTATTTTTTAAGAATAAAGTAATTCCATCTTTCAACAAATAAAGTAAGCAAAATACCATATCTTATCATGTTCAGAAAACATATTCATAGAAAAATGTCTAAAAATCATTGATTTTCATAAGGATTTATGAGCCCGTTGCTAAGGAAATAAATTTCCTTGGATATCAGTCCCTTCATACGTTCGAAAAAAAAATTTAATTGTGTTTTAGCATTAGGTAGGACAAAATCTTTCATATACCAAAAGCTTTTGAAAAAATAAAATTTTGACTTTCCATTCAATGCTCGATGCTTGCTGATTTTGACTCTTAATAATACAAAATAGGAGCAGAGCAAACACAAACCTTTAAAACATTAGAGGTAGGATCAGGTGCCATGGAGGAGTGTGCAATCCCTGCTGACCGGTCACACCTGCTGCATATTAGAAATTGTTCGTACATGTACATAGAGCAATGCTCTTGCATATTGAATTTAATTAGATAAATAAATTCCGTATGCATTATTTTATCAAGATAAGGATAATATGTTGAAGGTCCGACCGTTAGGGCGAGCGTAGATACTTCAGTTTTCATTTAGATCGGACTCGTCAAACTTCACGTGACATTCGGTGCATGTAAGACTCTGACATCACATGACGTTGTTTGCATGTTGCTTTACCAAATTCAAACCTGAACAGGGCTGATTTCAATCAGATTGTGACTTTTTTCTGCAATAAACAGATAAATTCATTAAGTCAAGGCAAGTTTATTTTTAAAACATCTGTTGTTATTCTCATGAGAACGTGGCTTAAATAGCGTTTGGAACGAAGTAGCCTGTTCCCCTGTCTCATCCTGGCCTAGTGACGCGGAGTTTACGAAGCAAAACAGGGACAGGGAACCAGACGAGGTACGAAGCGATACATTATGGGTCAAAATAACTGTGGAAAAAATTCTATTGAATGAATGTGCAGTACTACGAACTTACTCTTTGCCCAGGCGTTGTCATTCGAGATTGCAGTTACGACCGTGGCTTCGCAAGGATCACTGCGTTCGCTATAATGTTCAAATCCAAACTGTTGTTCAAAGACTCTGTAGATCTGAATTTTTGAAAAAAATGTTAACGTCAGTAGACCGCTTTTGCATAAATTGTTTTGTAATATCTTATATATACATTTGCGGTATCTCTCCATTATATAAACATACAGAAAGAAAATATCTTCAGTTCTGTATGACGTTTGTCAGAGGTCAGAGATCAATACGTGACCTAATCACACGGTGCAATACTATCTACCGGTACATTAATTATAAAATGACCTGCTCTTCTTGCTTTTCATGTATAAAAATGAACAAAATAAGCAAGTAAAATGCTAATTATCATATTTAAAATGTAAACAAGTATTTCATACAGATTGGGACTATTGATTCAATCTGTAAATTGCGAAAACTGGGGGGGGGGGGGAGGGGGGCTAGAAGCCTTTGGGCTTCACAGGATTTGATCACGTGATCGACCCACTTCAATTCCCATTGAATTTTATAAACTTGTTATTTATTTCTTAAATACAGTCTTATTACCCACGACATGCAATAGCCAGTTCACATTATGACTTCATAATTTAACGTCATTCACATTTACTACAAAAGTTTAAGAAGCATATTTTTTTTTATACAAAAACAGGGTATAAAGAGACGCAGGTTATTCCAAGGATTTAAGAAACTTTTGCACAAAAGTCAACACTGAATCATGTGCAGTATATTTTTCAAGAAAAGATCTTTTTTTCTTTTAATAACAGACAGAATTGATACTTATTGTATGTTTTCTAAATCTTTTTCATTGAACAATTATTGAATATAAATTGATCCTATTTAAAACGCTTCATTGGATAAATAAACGTATTTCATGTTCTCCGCTTCACAGGGGGCATCGTGCAATTGAAGAGGAAATTGTAGGTTATTCAGCGACATTGATAAATTTGAAAATAAATGTATGAATTATAAAACATTTCGACCTGAGACAAAATTATGGCGACTTTTTACTCTCTGTATAACTGTGTAATTTGTGTCAATTTTTTTTTTGTTTGTTACTTTGTAGCTACAGTTATTTAGATAACAACAGCCTCAAGTAAAGTATAAAGGCCCTGTCACGATTGTTGTCTCTCCAAAAAAGTTAATGGCTTGTCTATTCCATAAGCCGTGGTTGTTATGGGGATTTTGAATAAGGAAGCAAATGCCTGCTTTCAGTTCATAGACTGATTGCTTGATAGTATCTTCAAAACGATTCACTCTATTACATATGTAATATGGAGTTGTTCATGTATGTTAATTTTTCCTTTTTACTAATAGATTCTCTCCTCGTTTTTTCACAAAAAGGACCATGTGATAACAGGTACACAGATGGCTGTTTTCATTTGCAGACTTAAATCTTTTAGATTTTTCTTTGAATAAAATTAGCATATTATTTTCTATCATAATTATGTCATTTAGAAACCATGGATGTTGTGCAGAGACTATATGGAACGAAACAATGCAAAAATGTACAGGTAAAATTGCTTTTCTTTCAAAGTTTTGAATCACATTTGTGTTTTCCTTTGAGGGGTTTTTACTATTCTCTCACTCATTTGTTAAATTGCATTTGTCTTAAAAAAGATTCATGGCAACCAGATTGAAATTCGTCATAATAGGTGTTACATGGTTTTTGTCCCCCGCTTGAAAAGTGGGGGATATTAATTTGGGTTTGTCCGTCCCTCCGTCTGTCCGTCCGTCCGTCCGTCCGTCTGTCCGTCTTTCTGTCTGTCTGTAACGCTTTCGTTTCCACACGATATCTCGAGAACCCTTTGAGCTTTTGCAATGAAATTTAGCATAGCAACTCCCTATGGACTAAAGAAGACCCCTATTGATTTTGAGGTCAAAAGGTCAAAGGTCAAGGTCATAAATAAGCAAATTCTGTCTGTTAAAACACTTTCGTTTCCACACGATATCTCTAGAACCATTTGAGCTATTGCAATGAAATTTTATATAACAACTCCCTGTGGCCTATTGAAGACCCCTATTGATTTTGAGGTCAAAAGGTCAAAGTTCAAGGTCGTAAATTTATACATTCTGTCTGTGTGTAATACTATTATTTCCCGGCGATATTTCAAGAATATTTTGAGCTTATGCAATGTAATTTTATATCAAAAGTCCCTAGGACGTCTCTCGCCCCTCTCAAAGTGTCCCGCCCCATTTGTTTTATTAGTATTTATAGTATTACATGTCGCTATATTTAGCGCAGTGGCATGAGGAGAGTTTTTGCGTATAAAACAGGTTCTCGGCGGACTTTATGTTCTTATTACATCTATTAGAACTGTTTAATAAAGGCTAAATAAATCAAACACCATGGATTGTGTAAAATTTTGAGAATACCGAACATGAAAACATGAATATATACATGTATGTGACTTCACTTCTGCATATACTTCACGCTAAGTAAAGCGATTCCGTGGTCTAGTGGTTATGCGTCTCGCTTCATGTGTAAGAGGACCTGGAATCGAATCTCGGTCCAACCTTTCTTTTTTTTTTTTAAATACTTTTTTTTTACTAAATGATAGTATTCAGCATGTGAAATGAAAAATTTATGAGGCTATAAAATCATCATTACAGTGTGATAAAAATTCCATATAAAAAAATCCTCTATACACATAATGAAGTATAAGCAATCAAATCTTTATATGCATATTGACATACATGTATTTTATTGGCTTCAGTATACATGTATACATTTAATAATTCTACAAATTCAGTCAGGGGGAGCCGACTTTTTCCCTAAGCGGGGGACACGAATTCTCTGAATTAGCTTGTTATTTTAGTATTTTATTCAACTTTTTCTAGGAAATATTCATTAGATTACATTTGAATGGGTTTAATTATCACCTCCGTATAACAATAATTCGACCTACGACATTTCTTTTAAACAGATAGAGACTTCAGTGATTTGTTTTGCTTTTGTTTATTAAAAAGTTTGCTTGTTTAATTATAATATTTTTGTGCTTTGTTTGTTTTGTTGTTTTTTTTTTCTTCTTTTGTTTTTTTTTTTTTTTACAATTAGGAATTTTTTCATTTAAATAGCTAAAAACATCAATTTTGTCCCTTATTTAGAAGTTATGTCTTCTCTTTAAACTTTGATGTTGGCAAGTTATTTTCAATTGCGTGTCTTTCATAAGAAGTGAGTTTAAGGAAAATTTATCTGAATTGAAGAAAATAAAATTGTTTCATAATTCGAGGAGAGCTGGTCAGAGGGTTTGCAGACCATCTTTGTTGCTCTTCTATTAAAAATTTTAAGTGTAAAATTTCTTTCAACGTGAATTATAGAAAGCATTTTTACTAAAGAAGTATGCCTTTCGAAAATATTCATCATACACATATACTAATGTTTGGTTTATAACTCACTCATTAAAAAATCTTAATCACTTTCAATCAATATATTTCGCTTAAAATTTCTAATGTACCAATGTTTCCTTTGTCAATGTCAAAATATTTTCTGCAGAATCTCAATCATTCATTGCTATCAGTCAAATACCATTCAGGCCATATAAATGTACATACACAAACATGAATCGGTTTTGACTTTATTTCCTACTTCCTCAAACAATATACACTTGCTTTTTTCCGAGTTATTTTTTTTTCATCTACATGTAGGTTGCTCTAATGTGTGTTTTAATAACATTATAAAATGTATATCACATCCCTGTATATACATGTATGTCTGATGACCGTTATGCATATTTATGTGTTTTACGAATATTTATCTCATGAATGCCACGATTGAATGGGATTTTTTTTGTCTAGCAAAATGTCTATTTCTTTAGAAATATAGGATATTCAACGGCACATCAACGTCTATAGCCTATTCAATATTGCTTTAATATGACTAGTAACATTTAAGTCCGCTTATAGAATACGATATGAAGGCCTCGATCTTAAATTTTCCAAGATGAACAGAACACACATTGAAGAAACGTGTCGTATGACCTTAAAACAGAGTAAATTAAAATAGTTAAGTTAACTTTTGAAGACTTTAGAGTGACTAATGCTTATTCTTTGCCTTTCGTACGTAGTGTGTGGACCAGGTTATTTTGGAGAATTCTGCAATATGACATGCAGATATCCGGACTATGGAATGGGTTGTCGGATGATGTGTTATCCTGACCAGAATAAAGAAAGTTATGATTTTAGAACAGGATGTGCGGATCAACAAGGTATTGAAATTTCAAATCATTTATATATGTCAACTTGAAATATACAGTTTTTTATTCTACAGATTCTGCAACTCCACAAACACCTATAGAGGTAAACGATGGTGACAAGAAACAACATCTGCTAGTTTTTCTACGGAAGATATTTGACCTCTTTTTAACAATACTGGGAAGCAAAAAAAATAACCTCGTTTGAAGACAACTGTCAAAATTCTGTTTGTTGTCTTTATTTTTATTCTGGTCTTGTACTTGTTCTTTTTTGAAAATATATAAAATCAGAGGAAGAAACAGATGGACAACAGAAGGAGAGTAATCATCAATGCTAAGATGTCCAGGATATATACAAATAAGAAGTCCACAACAGAAATGTCGAATACATTTCTAGTGCTAAAACATATAAATTCTCCCAAAGAGAATGCAATAGAAAGTATTTTTAAAAAAGGATTTTCAATTCTAAACGGAACGATTATGTAAATTAAAATTTTATGCATATATCTTATTGTCCATCACAACCTTATTTTTTTGGATACTCCGAGTATAAATACAAGTATATAATCATTGATTTATTTTGAGTTATAAATACAGGATCACATTCATCAAAACTAAGATATTACGTGTGTCATTAAGAAACAAGTACAACTTAAAAAATGAGCAGCAGTGATAGAAAAATGTATTATATGCCGTTTATATGGAAGAGTATGTCAATTTTTTTTTATTAAAGGCTTATTTTTTTCGTCAGGTGAAACTGGTATCTGAAGAAAATGGTACAAATTATTTAAAGAAATTTCTATTAGAGGTGTCCTACTTGCAAAGCGGTTACCATTGGATGAATCATGCTAAACCATCAAGTTCTGAATTATCAGCAATCGTTTTTTTTTTCTTGGGCTTGGTCCTTTTGCAAACAATGTGCAATTGATTGTAATTATAGATAAATTAAATAAATAAGAACAATAATTTGGCTTACCTAAAAGGTCAATTGAATTAATGTATAAAAAAAAGTTTTTGGCATTTGTCTGTAATGCATATATGCCTCATATTATTCTATATGTAAAATTATCAGACTGTTTGAGACCCGTTCGTTTAGATAATGGAAATATTCTAAGTTTTTTTTTAAATGTGGCCATCGGGGAACAAACCTAAAATAAGGAGATTTGCAGACTCTTTTGCAGAAATGGATTTAAATTCGCTTATTCAAAGTAAAGTCTATCTAATATGTACACCACTGGATATAAAAAACCGACTGGATGAGACATATTACAGATTTATTAAGATGTACGCATTAAATGAAAAGAAATTTTTAAACAGTACTCAAAAATAACATCCTTTTAGACAGAAATTCGTAATGCAAAATATCATAATTTCATAAATTTCAATATTCTTTTATCCTTCTGGCGTCCAATGATTTATTTTTCATATTTTTTATTTACTTATTCTTTTTTTATCAGAAAATACACATTGGTCAAAATAAACTTTTATTTTTTATTTGGATAAAGAGTTTGTAAAAGGTGACATTTATTATTATGCAAAATGTTTCCTCTTATCAATGATTTCATAAATGCAACCATAAGATTTATTTTCGCGTGATCTTATAGAATAATTGTCAACAAATAGAAATCATCATTTGAAGTGTAGTTTAGACGTAAAATGTTTTATTTTTTTTCATAACTTTGTTTACTGTTATAAATGTACAACCATTTTTTATGTGCTAAAACTCTTAATCATTTCAAACTAATTTTTATCTGTTGGAAAAAGTTTACAGTGTATCGTCTCTCTAATACCCCTGTTGATATATATATATATTTTAAAGATGCATATAAATTTATATGCCCATTGGATATTTAAAGCTTCAGAGAGAAACGTTTGTTTTCCGATTCAAATCTTAAACTGTTAGCATGATAATAATTTTAAAAAAACTTAAAAATTATATGAACGATATTTTTTATTTCACTCCTGTTTCAGAGGGATAGTTTTAAGAAAATCTTTAAACCAAAATCTTTGGTAGGTGAGATACTTTGATTTTAAATGACTTTGGATTTTCGTTTAATTTAAAATCTAGGTATTCATTGAAACGGATATAATGCCTTACACTATAATCTTTTTTGTTTTTATATTTTGTTTGAAGATAGCATACATCCCAAAACCTGTGTTCACTACAAAAGGCAATGGCAAAAATAACACAAGCTATAAAAAGAACAAAAACGTACTCCTTTTTCTTTTCGTACTTTTCTCTAGTTAATTGTTTTTTTTAAATACGATTCGGGTGTTAAAATCTTTCCTACAAGCACACACATTAAACAGATTCACTCAAAAATGTCTGTATTCAAAAAGATAAAACTATATGTCAAATAACATGCCCGTAACTAACAAAACTCGCATGAACCAACGTACCTTTTAAATTTCAACAAAAAACAAAAAGCAAAAAAAAAATGGATCTTTGTATCATTATCAAATATAAAGCACCAAAAAGATGCATAAACATAAATCTAATCAAAATTGAAAATTTCATTTAATAATGTTCAATTGAATTCATTTTATAGATGTTTTAAACATTAAACATAGGTTGTGCCGCCGCGTCACAACTAAACGTCACGTTTTAAAGTAAATATTGTTAGAATGAAAAAAGACAAACACATTTAAAAAAGTATCTAAAAAAATCGTCTAACCGTCAAATATTTTAAAAGACAAAATTTACGTTTTGATATAGTAAATTGTTTTAATATTATGAAAATAGAACAAATGAAGCCACATGCAGTAGTATTTTTTTCACTTTTTGACGCCAACACCGTGCGCGACGCCTCAGTAAACAGAATGCAGATTTCAAACCGACAGCAGTGGCGGACCCAGAAATTGTGTAAGAGTTTTGGGGGACTAGTTTGAGGTCAGGATAGGGGCCTTCATCCACAGCAAACCATTGATTTTTCAAATATTTTATTTTATTCAAAGGAGGAGTCGGCTGAGTCTCCTCTAAAAACGCCAGTGTGAACAGTGACAAAGATGGGGCAATATCCGCCAGCGATCAAAGCCTCAAAAAGGTTTGATCCGCCCCATCACGGCCATATACTTAACATTGCAGGTTAAACATTATTTCCAAAATTGAAACGTACTACATCAAGGACGTGTATTCAGATAACTAGAAGCACTTCTTTAAAGAAATAATAGAAAATATGTCATCTTCATTTAAGAATGATATGGAGATAACGAACAGTATCAAAAGATGATACCCAATTTGATAAAATATTGATGAAGAAATGTATACATATAATGTAATTGGAGACCAGTATTTGATCACTGTAATAAATAATATGACCATTTATAATGACAGAAACAAAACAAAAATAAAAAAATAAATAATAATAAATAATCTTAATGAAGAAAATCAGGAAATATTTCAAAATATTGTTTTTTTTTTCTGTATATTTAAGACCATGTTAGCTTTAGCCTAGTGATAAAATTATACAATTTTAGACAAAAAGAATAATTTAAGATCCATACATCTCCTACCTTTCGAATATCCCAAACAAAATGAAATTGACCGATGAATGATCCAGTAGAAAGTCTACACGAAAGTAGAATTATAAACTAATTAAGCTTTTACTAAACTTTTATCGAACCTCTTTGCGAAATATATATTGTGACATGGCGAAAAAAACGTTTTTGATGCTCGCTGTCGTCACTTAAGTTGTCTAAAGAACGTGAAAAAAATCAGATTACCTGTCACGATAGCGCTCAGTGGCTCATTATAACTTCTTCTGGTATATCGTATGCATAAATTAGGCCCGCGGTTGCATCTTTTGCAGATCTATCGAATTTCATTTTGTATCAAAGTACTTTTGTGTTTTAACAAGCTTGGAGTTTGATATTCTGAATAAATATATATTTACCTTTTTGTTATATCAGCTATATTAAGTGAATTTGTAGAAACAAGTTATAATTATAATTAGGTGGGTTAGACTTGGACAAATTCTTTCTTTTTACAATCTTTCAACACGTTTTTATATGTTATAATATTTCAAACTTCATTTGTACAAATATACCCCTTAATCGCTAAAACATATACTTTTTAATCTAAAGCCTGTGAGTTTTACCTGCACAATTTAGTATTTTTTCTTACACTTTAATCTGATATTTTAAACTTTCTTCTCTGAAACTTACATGTAAATCGCAGATCAGTAAAATGTATTTTTAATCTGTAACTTTAACAATTAAATAGACTTTAGAGATCTTAAATCTTAGAAAACAACTCTTGGTTAGGTTAGAAAAACAAAGAAAGAAAAGAACATAACCAAATCATTTTGATAACAGTGGAACTTTGATTATTTGTTTTTACAAAAAAAAAACTCTCGATCGCTGCAACAAATCAAGGACCCCCGAAATTGAGATAAGAAGTTTTATATCGGAGCGCCCCCCCCCCCCAAGAAAGGAAGAAAATGGTTCGTAGGTTCGTATTCATCTGCATCATAGCGATATACAAGAATCGGAAATATTCTTAAGAATCAACTACCTCCCGGGGATAGATAACCAAGCGACAGTAAGGGCCAGACTGTATATGAAAACATATACATTTCAATCATGGAAGAACATTTTGATTACTAGTATTCAATTATTAAATGAGCATTCTCATTGACAAGATTTTGCTCTGGATACCACACATTTTACCTTATGACCTTTGAATTTAGCATGTTTTAAAAATCTTTTATCTTCATCTTTGAATAGCTGGTGATTTCTTAATTCACGTGACTGTGTATTTTTGTGACAAATGCTTCTGGGATCTATTAAATTTTTCCCTGTACCAAGACCTTTAAGTTCGTTCAACTTTTATTAAAAATTAACTTGGACATAACTTTAATATGGTTGTTTTTTGGTCATCATATTACAAAGGTGCATGCATATTTGATAAGACAAGTTCTTTTTGGGATAACGTGATTTTTTAAACCTTTTGTCTTTAACCTTGGAGTTTCCCTATATTTTAAGAAACATGAACCTTCATCATACGGGGAATCGGTGCTTCACAGACACATTTTGATCTGATTGGTGTTTGAGATGGCAAGAACTCTCCACCATACAATTTTCTGTTATCGAAGAGGCAACTGTGTGGATTCATGGTTTTAAAGGGGGATGCATGCAAAGAGCAATTTTTGATGAATGTTTTCATTTATTTTTTTTTCTGAGGTTATCATAAAAAGTGAAGTATGAATCAATTTCTAAAGGTTACTATCAAGACTATTTCATTGCTTTTAGGAACAACATTCTCTTTTGGATATGGTAAGTTTAATTTTGTTAAAGTGCATGTTCCTTATATATCTTAATTTCTTATTATCTAGTACGTATTTTAAAGGCAGGATTAAAATTCATTAAGCTCCTTGTCTTAAAAATGATAAAAATATGCAATTTTCATTTTAAATTTATTTATTCTAGATGATCTGTCCTATTTGAAAAATACATCCCTAACCCCGACTTGGTCGTGTCTCTCGATTCAACAGTGTAAATTTTTCGCAGCTACTAACGCATTAGATAGCAATAAGAGTACTTGCGCAAGGGCTGGAATGATAGGCCATTTTACCCCAGATAAGGAAGTGACGTGGTACGTGGATCTTGGTGTAATCTACAGTGTTTACAGCATATCCATCCAGTTTAAAGACTATGGTCCTGCTTACGGTATTTTTTACGCTCCAAAGTATAGTTTAACCTACTTAAAACGGAAGTTCTAGCAAATAAATAAATGTAACAAGTGACAAATTCTTTTACTATTAAGCAATATTTTGGAAAATCAATTTTCAAATGAGATGCCTAAATCACTTAACTAGGGAATATAATCAGGGAAATGAAATGTAATTTATAGGTATTTTTTCTGATAAGAAAGACCATGCTGCATTTTCTTTATACATCCTAAACTTTGTGAGCAAGGCTAATGGCTTAATTTTGATAATTATTTTTTTTAGCAAGTATATGATAAACTAGTTCATAGTTTTTATTTTTATTTTTATTGAATTTTTTTTTGCACTTATTATTATTATTATTGTTTTCTTTTTTCTTTGTTTTTTATGCAAATAAAACAATCACTTATATTCAAAACATTTTTGTTTTAAACAAAGCAATTTTTTTCTAAAAAAAAAAAAAAAGATTATATACATTGTTCATACATAAATCAGGAGAAAATTTTAAGTTTTTCTAAATAAAATAGCGTACGTATATGACATAAAATGCGGATGTTTTATTCCACTAATTTCTATACTGTATCAATAAGAATATCAAAGATGTTGACATATGTTTTTTTCCCAAGAGAACGACTTTATTGCATTTGTATTGTACACATTATTATTCTAGTATGTACTTTGGCGCAATTTATCATCATATGTGAATCATTATGTAATTGGCTTTTTCAAATACGCAGATGAATTATGATGCATATTTTTTTAGGAAAGGTAAAGATATATTATTTTTTTTTAAATCATCGGTTTCAAATTCGAAACAGGTATACAATTTGCCCATCAAAAAAAAATTGGTATCAGAAGCTCCAGTTTGCTCTGACTACCGATGATTAAAATTCGATAACGATTAAAATGTATGTCAAATATTTCTGTTACTAATCAGATGTGCTTTAGATCTTTTAAAATTTATATGGAATTTACGTAAGATAAGCTATTTTATTTTCTTTGTGGTGTTAAAGTTCCTATCAATGTTTTGATTACAAATAAAACCCTACCTGCAATAAATTTTATTTCTAGACACACTTTACAAACATATATGCATGTGATAAGACAACCTTTCAGCTAAGTCAACATTCCTCTAATACGGTCTTTATATACCAGAAAACATAAATCAGACATTTTTCGTCATTTTATAATTACGCAGATAACAGTAGATATTCTGTGCATGTAATTTCTAGCAGAGGAATATTACTTGGATATACTTCTTGATAATAAAAGACAATATTTCTGTAGAAATATATAAACTGTAACATAGAAATCATACCATGGACTCTCAAAAAGATTTCCTGGCTTTTACAAAGGAGTTTTAGCATAAAAATAATATTGTAAACTATTTTACATAAAAAATAAATTGTTAGGATGCTCATATTTTGAAACAATATTACAATAACATGATATAGATGGCAATATGAATAAAAATATAAGATATTTCTTAATATAATTATTATTAATGGTTTCTGCATATCAAAGACAAAGAGGCAGATTTGCTGGGTCTTCTCTATATCTTTCAAACTCAACAAATAGAGAAGATGGTTACTTTTGTTACAAAAATACTTCGCCGTTACCGCCACTGAACTTTACAACAACATGCATTAAACATGGCCGATATGTCATCTACTACAATGAAAGATTGGACGGTGTCACGTATCCTGATGGGTATGAGGTTTACTCTGTCACTGAATTGTGCGAAGTAAATGTTCAAGGTCAGATTTCTTTTCAATGTTCTTTGCTTATTATCGTTTGTTTACATTTGTTGTGTTTTTCTCAAAATTCACCTGTAAAATGGATTTGAATTTCATTTTATTTTAAATTTATTATTATTTATTATACAAATAAATTCACATCGACTTTAAAAACTTTCCTTATAGCTAAACATATTTATTTAGCAGTAAAATTATAGGACATTCTATATTTTGTCGCTGAAATAGGTATGTCAACATTCAAAAATTACCCAATGTCCAATGTTAGGATAATTATTCATTATTTAGATGTAAAGTATTTTCTGTTTAAGGATGTAAATATGAAGGTACCTATGGTGAACGATGCCACTTGAATTGCTCTACTAATTGTCAAGAAAACCAACGTAATATTATTAGAGGAACGTGTCTTGTGTGTAAGCCTGGATGGGTTGGAATGAAATGTTAAACAGGTACATCAATTGTCAATTGTCAAAATTACATTACAAAAAAGGATTTCGGAAAATATGCAGTACCATAAATTAATAACTTTTGAAAAAGAAAAAAAATTCATAATTTTAAATACCAGAACAAAAACTTAACCAACGAAAAAAAATACCAGACAGATGCTTTGACATTCATAAAGAAATGTTTTCATTTACATGTATTTATATTTAGATGAAAAAAGTGCAAAGACTTTCAAAAGGAACCCCAAAAACATGATACTGCTGTCGGTGATAGGAATAACTAGCTTCCTGATTTTGATCACGATGGTAACAACTATAATATTTAAAAGGTAAGTTTTTTAGAAACGTTTGTATTAACAATAAAAATTTTAATGCACAATAATCGAAGCCAATATAAAAAAAATGAATCAATAGAGAATCTACTCAAAACACTTTGTTTGTATAAATTGCAAAAGGGATTGAAGCTATGTAATTTGTATATTTTGTTTCCTTTGTAAAAACTTAATTCAATTTTCCTTTTAATTAATGCCACCAAATTGTAGAAGCTTCAAATACAAAGTGATGTTAATTAATATTCTTCTGATGTAAGTGACGTTAGCAACAAGTTACATATCTGATCATTTTCTTTTCTTTGAAATCAAATGGCGCTTTACAAGAAGAATTAAAGTGTTTTCAAAATCTCCTATCATTTCAGCATGAGTGATTTAAGTTATTTGTCTATATTTATTTTTTTGAAATATTACTAATATTTTCAGAGTCTTTTTCATATTCCAGTTCTTAAAAAAAAAAAACACTTTTATTGAAATAAGAAATAAAAAAGATTCAATAACTGTAGTATTGAAGGTCGTTTATTTAACATAATTCCTGTTTGTTACTTCATGCTTCTGCTTTGCCGGTCTTGTATTTACCATGCGGTCCCTTTATGTTTTAAGTTTTCTATATATCTCATATTCTGCAGAGCATGAAAAGGGGTATAAATAATTTTATCTTTTCATCAGTGTTTCTTTTTCCATTTTCAACTCCCTAACTCGGGGTAAAAACAACTTAAGTCAAGATATACACTATAAACTAGAATATTTTACCTTAAAACAACAGATGAGAAAATCCTGGAGTAGAGAAGAAAACAAGATGTGCGAATCACTGGTGGTATTTAATGAACGACCCTGCGACAGGAAATACACAAGTTAAATATAAAAGCCCTAGTTCTTACGTATACATATACAGCACAAATTTCACGGCGAAAAAATGGGCCACTCTTTAAGGTCAAGACCAACAGGTAAAAATTGGACGTATTCAAAGGAAGGTCTTGTAACTATGCACCTGCCAAATTTGAAAACCTTGTTCCAACTGTCCGAAAGTTTTAGATTTAATTACACAGGTAAAGAAAAGAAAAAAAAAGGAGAAAAAATTTTATACCCCCTCTACCTAAAGGAAACACTCGCGGGAACGGCCATCGGGTCTTTCGTTGCAGCACATTTGGCAAGAAGTGACATGTATATATATATATATATATATATATATATATATATATATATATATATATATATATATATATATATATATATATATATATATATATATATATATATATAAAAACAAAAGTAAGCAGGAGAGCAGCTTGAAGTCTTCGACTAACCCCCTCCCCTTTCATACCCCCTTCCAAAGGAATTAAATGTTAAATGAAAACAATAAGCAGTCAATTTTTAAGCTAATCTTTATTTGCTAATTTCTATTCAGTTAGTATGGCAGCAAATTCTGTTATTATTATTTTTTTTACATTTGTTTATAATTTTATATTGAGTTTTGTTGGTACGGTACAGGTATGAAATGAGTTTTAAAAGGTTTTTCTTTTGTACAACAATTATTATTTAATGTATGATAAAATCTGAAGTATTTTATTCTGATGTAGATTTGTAAATATATGACATTACTCTCATTTGGACAATAATAAATCTAGCAACCAAGCTAATATGTGTCCATAGCTTTTGGAATTAAGAAGAACATGCGCAGGTTTTTTTTTCGTTTGAGAGGGGATCTCCCAACACATTGAATTTGTAGAATTCTTAAATATTCACATGTATATTGAAGCAAATAAATAATGCCAATATGGATATGATGATTTGTTTGCTTATTCTTTATTCTGTGTATAAGAAAATTGTTTTTATATAGAATATTTATTGCACTACCGTAATGATGACCATGATTGGAAATGTAAATCCTGGAATGTGTGAAAAGCAAGTATTTCTGTATAATTGCCGTTCTTGGGTTCACACCAGTTTAAAAACATTTTTTTATTTGACTGGAAAATAAATTGTGAATCTTGTAGATAAGTCTCAATTGCAAATACACTGATGAAAAAATGAAAGTACCATGGATTTATTCAAAAATGTCCAGATGAAAGGAGGTATAAAGAAAAGATATTTCTGTTTCTTTCTCTTTTGATTTTTAATCTGTGTACCTTGAGAGAAAATGTGCTTAAAATCACAGGATTATATAACAACACAAAACGAAAGATAACTCGTGTTTTCAATGGCATAAGGTTCCATATATTAGAGTTCTTGCTATTACTAGACATATAAATTACACATGGAATTCTATTAAGTTGTACATATGTGCAAGTACATATGAAGAGATGTTTTATTGCCAAATAGTTAAAAGGGCATGCTGTTATCTTTTCTGCTCATTCTGATTTTTAATTTGGGAGAGAGAGAGAGAGAGAGAGAGAGAGGTCACACAATGAATTTAAAAGGATTAAACTCGTTTTATTAACACATTTGATACTATTTTCGTGTTAAAGATACTTAGAGTCGTTGCCATACCGCAGATATATTTGCATTTTAAATAGATCAGGACAGAAAGCTCATTTACAGAAATTTATCTGGAACCATCAACAAAAAAATATACGTTATACACGTATAGCAAAACATGATCATGCCTTGATAGTATTCAGCTTAAAGTTATTAGGTATACAGAGCAGAGTGTGAAATGTATTACCTTGTATATTCATGTAAATAAAGTAATTTCCTTATCAAGCTCAGTTTTTCTTCTATAGCTTTATAGCTTTGTTGACCCTACAATATCAATAAGAATGTTTCAAGTAAACCATTAGATAAAATTTATTTTCTATTACTTGAAAAAACAAGGAAGACTTAAATACCTACATGTATTTAGAAAAAAAGACTTTTTTCAACTTTTAAATTATTCTAACATTTTCCTTGTTGTTCTGGGACAAAACAACAAATGCTTCTTTGGAATCTATACAGGGATATGAAGGCCATCACAAGGCATAATGTGTTTTAAATAAAAACAAACGAGTACTTAGTGACATGATATGTTTAAATGTTCTGTTTTTTCTACGATGTCATAATTACTAGTAGTCTGATTTAACAAGATGACCTGTGGGAAAAGGCTGTTGATATTTCTTTAAAAATAATATTTTCAGGTAGATGTACCAACATTTATTATCAATGCACAGTGACTGTTCACGGTAGCTCAGTCGGTAGAGCGCTCACTCCGTGATCAGGAGGTCGTGAGTTCGCATCTCGGCTGCGACCGACCTAGTCGTTAAAACGGGTAGCAAGTGTTCCTTCACCATGCGCTCGGCACTTTGAAGTGAAAGTTGCGGGTCCTTTGGATGAGACCTTAAAAACCAAGACCCCGTGTCACTGCTCAATGGCCCTGAGTGCCGAGTAAAGGTCAAAATCATGAAGCCCTTCACCGACATACGGTGACGTCTCCATATGAGTGAAAAAACTCTCGAGAGGGACGTTCAACAATATACAAACAATCAATCAATGCACAGTGCATTTATTCAATACAACTCGCAATATTGTGATTGCAAACTCTGACTTAGATGCCTGTTTACTACGAGGAAATAAAAATCTATCGTTATGGAACTGGTTTGCACATATCAGTTATCATTAACACAAAATTTCCGGTTCATGCTCATGCGTTTACTCTGTCCTTCCTATATTGCGTAAGAGATGTTTGTTATTCTTATGATATAAGGAATATCAATTTTCATCAGTGCCTCCGTAAGTTATGTAAATTTTCTTCTTAGCACTCCTTTCTACTAAATGTAGGGTTAATTTTGAAAACTTAATCTTCTGATTTACGATGTAAATCATAATCACTAGTACTTTACAAAATTTTTAACATTACATCACGATCGAAAGCTGCATGTATCGTCTTATAAAACTTTTATTTGTCTTAAAATACATGTTTTATAAACCAATTTTGAGTTCTAGAGGATGATGCACGACCTATTACTGTGGAATTTCCTGTACGTTAAACATAAATATGAATTCCTCGTTGAGTATAAACAACACTTTGCTATTCAAAGCTTTGCCTTCCTCACTCTTTAATAAATCTCCGGATCTATTTCCTTACTTCCGTATTTTTCTCTTTATTAAAGTTCATTCACATCCTGAAAAAAATATTGATCGTTATTCAGATACTCAAAAATACTAAATTAGAGTATGTAATCAAAAACTAAATACTGTGAAATCACACATTTTCTTCTGGGTTTAATTTACGTTGTTTTCGAGGTATGAAAAGACACTTGAACTTTTAGCCACAACGAAATACAATTTTTTCACAAATGTTACTACAGAGAATTTCCTCGACCCCAAAATCAAGTCCCCATGAACCAATATATTTTGACCCATCGACAATATATGATTTAACAGTATTCATATTTTGTCGTTTTTTTCAGTTACTGGATAGAACAGATAAACAAAATGGCAGCAACAAGGTATTTCATGAACATGACTGCCTGGAGCATATCATATGACGTCACATCTAATACGAACTATCTCACTTCCCGGATTTCTTCTTTGGAAGAATTTGATTTGGAAACAAATGTGAATAGTAACAAGTTACTCTTTGTTGTGTTTATATTTGGAGTATCTGTGGCTGCTTTCTTCATGGTGTATTTCATATTAATGATGTACATAATAGGAAAAGACACAAAGAAAAGAAATATAAAGTGGGGAAATATTCTGAAACGTAAACCGGTTAAATACCGCAACCTTGAGGATGACGTTGCTCTTCACATATGACCAAAAGTTTTAAAGGACTGTAATATTTAAAACTTGTTTCACATAAAGATCTTAAATTTGTAATTTATGATAAATGTAATGTAATGGGGTAGCATTATGTGAACCTAATCATTTTATCTTCTTCCTAAGATAGAATACCGCTCTTAAAACATAGATATAAAGAATTTAAGCATCTCTCTATTGTTTCACTATGACTTTTTTTTAGAATAATACATAACATGTTTGATTCAACGTTGTATTTGTTATCCTTTGCAACTTTTCTTGCTAATCTATAATGTTCTCGTACAAATATAAGACAATATTGTATAGATTATAAATAAAACAAGCAAAGCTACATGTAAATATAGTAATGGGACGTCCACATGGTACAGTTGTAAGAGCGTCTGCTCTAAAGTCAGGGCTTGAAGAGGTATTCGTTACGTCGTGGTGTCGAATTCTATTGAGAAACCCGGAGAAGAAGAGACTGTTAAAAGACAGGTCCCGTGTCACAGCTAGTTCTGGCACAATAAAATCCCTCCATGTTAAAGGGCTGTACATAAGTGTCAAGTACAGATCTAAATTAGTTGACCAGTAAGAGCTGGCGACCCAACATGCTTGAAAAAATTATCGAAAATACGTTTAACATCAAAATACCAAAGAAATTAAAGTATATCAATTTTATACATTATGTACACAATAGGAATTTTGAGCAGTGTTAAACAAAAGTGACACACATAATAAAGATCTAGGAGCGTAGAAGAAATAAGTCTTTTTTCTTAATTCCTTCCTCATAAGCCCATTTATTGATCAGATAGAAAGATACAGAAGGAAACAATTATTTCAAATTTTTAATAATGGGCTATTGCTCAATACTTCGAAAAAAAAATGTTAGCATTTATTTGTATAGAATTAAGGAATTAAATGTTCGTCAAGAAGAGACTGTAAACTTGTGATTAAAAGCTGGATAAAATATATACATCGGTGCTCTTCTGTAAAATGTATTTCTGTGCCAGTCTTACGTTTATATTCATACATTTTTGCAGTGTAGTTTCCCAAAAAGGACCATGTGATAATAGGTACATGTACACTCTTATTGTCAAGTGTCTTTTGTCATTTGGATTTGTAGAAAAATGTTTTATTCAAAAATTTATTTCAGATTGCATGGTTGTTGTTCAGGAACCATATGGAATGAAACTCTACAAAAATGTACAGGTATACATGTAATTAAAATATTCCGTTTTACTTTCTTCTTGAGAAAATTGATATATAACTTGTTTAGATTAATGTGATCTTATAAGGCATGAATAGCACATTACTTTTGGTCCTTGTTTTCTATTACATAGATTTATTTCTATACTTATAGTTTGTGGACCAGGCTATAGAGGAGATTTCTGCAATGTTACATGCGAATATCCTGGCCCGGGGATCATGAAACAGACTTAGACTTAAGTCAAAATTTCAATTATCTATAAAATCTTTAAAACTTGTTAAAGGAAACTCATAATTTGCATACAACAACAGACTGATGATATAAACTCGAAATGCATTTTCATTTTGGGCTGCTTGACCTCTAAAAAATTTCAGCATCTAAGGCATTTTTGACTTAAGCTTAAGATGCTTCATGATCCCCTGACCAGATTACCGAATTGGTTGTCAGCTGATGTGCCATCCTAATCAGAGTCGATACCACTTTGATTTTATAACGGGGTGCGAAATGCAAAGAGGTGCAAAAGATTGCATCGTGAAGTTTTTTTTTTCAAATTTTGTACAAAACATGAAAAGTCTTCTTTTCTCCAACTATGATATTCAAACATTACATCTGGTATAAAACAAAACAGTTTTTTCTTTATATTCACATTTAAACATGAATGTGATTACATAGGAATATATTCTTTAAATGTTATTTTTAACATTAACAATACTAACAATACACGCAGTATTTCAATAGTCTTCATCAGCTGGCATCAAACACAACCACATGAGATTGACATAAAAATTTGGCACGTGATCTTTCACTAAATGTAATGTACATCTAATTGTAAATATCGAGTAATCCATATTATTAACTTTTTTATACGTAATCACAGATAAATTATTTGTTATATAACGTCCCTCTCAAGAATTTTCCCTCAAATGAAGTTGCCAGCACTCGCCTGTGGGGGGCTACAAATTTTTACCTTTACTCGACAATTACGGCAATTGAGCAGTAAGGGATCTTTTACGATCCAGCACCTACTGCGACACGAATTCACGATTTTAACATCTCGTCTAAAGGACTGGTCTTCATGTCTCACAATACTAAAGGAATTCCTTCCAGCGACGTTAGGATAAACTCCTTATTTCCAACTCTAGACAGGACGTCCTATCCACTGCGTCAAGCGGGCGACGCGTAATCACAAAGTCAACAGTAGAAACATACAATATACGAGGGCCGTTCAAAAATTACGCGGACTGTCCTATTATTTACTTTTACAGACGTCATATAGTTATGAAATTTCACAGAAATATGTATCTTAAAGATTTCAATATATTTTAGGCAAAATTTCTGTATTTTAAAAAAAATCTACGAAAATTATCGGTATGTTGATATCGCTGTCGGAGAGGTACGGAGCAAGACCAAAAAATTGAAGCAAATGCATGCGGAATCCAAAATTAAACTCATTAATTTTCTATAATTCGCGATATTTTTCGACAATTTTCTCAAATGTATCTTTAAATTGTTTTATTATTATGTATTTAGATTTCTGACGTGATATTTGAAGTACTAACAGAAATATAGTGATTTTTCTCTGATGCGATTCCCGTGAAAACGACTGTGAAAATGACGTCTTCTGAATTGACGGCGCACCACACTTTTGTTAAATTATGTGTAATGCTCGAGATATAGCCAACATAGATCCAAAATATGCATAATAAAACATGTAGTAAATTAGGGTATTCGTGACATTCATCCACAAATAGCAAAATGAAATTTGAGACCGCCAGACCTCTGTTAATAGGCTAAAAGGGAGGAGGGGAAGAAGATTATCGACGAAATCTTTATCCGGACTGTAAACAACGCGATTGAGAGACACAAATATCACACTGTATCTCATAAATTCCTGCAGTTTTTGGTTTTGATTAAATTAAAAAAGAACATTTTTTCTTGTTTAATAGATTTTAAGCTCAACAAGAAATGATATTTGGATGTTGAGTAAAAAAGGTAACTCCAACTGTACAGATACTGTGGAATCACAAATTTTCGTGGGGGTTTAATTTTCGTTGTTTTCGTGGTATGACAAGACCCACGAATTCATGTCCACAACGAAATGTAAAATTTCACACACATAAGTCCTCATTAATTCTTGATCCACGAAATCAAATCCCCACGAACCAAGAAATTTTCCTCAAACCACGAAAATTTGACCCCACGAAAATATGTGATTTTACAGTACTTATGGGGAAATGTTGAGAAAATGAAAACTCCATCACATATTATTTTTTAATGCCTGTGAGGTCGAAAATTTTGCTGCTCCGTGACTCAATGATATGTCCTCATAAATCACTCAAAATTGATACCAATTTACAACATTTTGCTATGAAATTTTGAAGACCTTATAAGTAAAGATTCTTTTTTATTATGTGTGACATTTTACCCGATTATGTCGTCAAATATTTTTTCTGTGCAACAAGTCCGCGTAATTTTTGAACGGCACTCGTAAATTTGTACAAACAGAAAGAATAATATATCTCCATTTAAATAAAAATCAATTTAAAAAAAATGGTTCTCATTTGCAATTCCATTTGTAATGTATTAATAAATCTTTCAACCACATTATGTATTGGTTTACCTTTCATTAAAATGTAGACTTTAATGTAATCTATTAATTACTTTAAGCTTATAAAATTACATTTTGGAAACTTTCTCCTTCTTAAAATGCTTTAGATTACATGCTGTGTACAGATTTATGTTCCAGTACGTGATGGGCATTAATAGTGTAAAAGTTATAAACACCAGTTCTTAATTTCAAATGTTTTGTTCTTGACTGACCATGATATTCCTATCTTCGAGACACATTCATTTTTTGTTTTTCAGAATTTTTTTTTCTAAAATAATCTTCACTTTTTTATTGTTGAGTTTAATACGCTCACAATGAAAAAAAAATGCTACAAAGATGGACAAACAAAGACACTAAAAAATGAAAATATATTAACATTCCTCTTAAATCAAACCCTTACATGTATATTGAAGCAACCAACAAAAATGCACTTGATCAGCACCTGAATTGAATAAAAAATATGTGATCAGTTCCATTTAGGCGTTATATTATCGGATATGTTTTAAATGATGTGAAGTATTATTTTCCTTGGATTTTCAGGTATACTAAGACACTGTGTCTAAATCAATATATTGACAATTCTGTAAAAACAAGGAAGGAAATATTTGCCGTTTATGGTGCTTTCCTTAACAATATTATTTCAGTTTCCCTATAAATCAAACAATCAATATGGATGTTATTTTGTTTGTTTAATATGACGCTTCTGGCCGCGGTGGTCAATATCCTGGGGTTACCACAGCGCTTCCCCACAATCAACAATCAATAAAACAAATGTGACGACCCAAATAGGGTGAATCATGCACTGGATAGGTCACAAGTGCGTGAAAATCACCAATGCAATAATCAATCGAATTCAATCAATCAATTATTAATCAATCAGTCAATCAATTCAAATATCAATCAATTCAATTACTTGCTAAGCAATCAATTATTTATCAATCAATCAATTAAAATACCAATCAAGTCAATAAACAATGGAATGAGCGTAAGACTGTGCACTCGTCCAATTACGTTGAAGCGCGACGGAATACGCCACTTCCAAGTACCATGACTACTCGTGTCTACTACGAGTAATCATGGAACTGCAGCCAACACTTATGGGGTGCGAAGAACCATGGTGACGGCGGCAGTACCTCAAAGCAAATGGTCACCGTCGACCAGGGTCTGCTCATTCACCAACTCAAATTTAAAGAATAAGTGATTACGCAAGTATTACAAATGGAGTCAACTTGTCCATATAAAGCAACTTCTATTTACTCTAACGTTGTTGGTACTTACCAGCACTGTATTTTTCCATTGGTTACTTGTAAAAATTACCTTAAAGGCTGTCCTTCATTTCATGGCTTTTAAATCATTAAAACACCTCTGAGTTACTAAGTTTCCTTGCGTGACAAAGTAATATGTACTTTGCGACTCGTGCTTTAAAAAAATTGCCTTTTTTATCATAGTCAAATTAAAAAAAAATGATTTCACTAAAAAACACAAACATTTGGCAAAATGACCATTGAGATAGAAGAAAGAACCGTTGGAATGTTGATATCTGGACCATCTATGCACCATGCTTTACTCACTTTTATTTTAGTGCTTATTTTTCTTTCATATTAAATTTGAAAATGGACAGCCAATATCAAAACCATTTAAACACATTCTCAGGTACGATAAGGCTTCCCAGAGAATAGTGTAGTGAACTTTCTGCATGAACTTCTCTGAACTACAGATGTATGACGTCATAATTGAAAATGACATCAAGTCACTGCATACTTGAACTGTAATGATGAAGAGAGTGTCATAAACATTACACCTTATTTCAATCTGCATATAAAGTTGCAGAATGCTAGTTTAAAATTTAAACGTGCTTTTATCATTTGTTCAAAGTCTAAAATATCCGAATAATTTAGATAACTTTGCTTTAATACTCTTTTTTAAGATTCAGCATGTTCGAACACCGTACGTAATATACGTCGACATTTACTCTTTTTTATACCCGTGGACAGAGGCAGAATTCATAATATGTGTATACAAGAGCCTGGCACAGGTTGTTAATGAAGATTTATTTAATATCCTTCTTGGAAATATGTAAGAGTGGTTTCCCCTCCAACTGAATCCTTCTTGGGAAAAAAGTATGATGGCTTTGTTTTAAAACAGATGACGATATTCAGAGGAAAATACCCTCAGATTTGTCGGTAAGTTGAAGTTAATATGAAATAAATTGTTCCAAAGAAATAGTATTACTTTTCACAAGCACATTTCTGTTTCACAAGGATGCAACGAGTTTATTCATGTGACCTTTGGCGAACTGATGTACATAACTTAAAATAAAACTCAAAATCAGCCTTACAATGCAGTGTTACGTTTTAAATGCATTTTAAGCTCCGGGAAGCCTTAAAAGTAATAGGTTTTTCTGTAGGCTGTGCGTCATTTTTCATAGCCAATTTATAACAATTTGAAATTTTGGACAAAATTTAATCAAATCGGAAGTTTCCTTGATCTTTGTCCTCGGCCAAAATTTCGCGTCACACCTGGTTACAAGAGCGTTAAATTGCTCTGAAACAATCTTAGAAACATGAAAACAAACAATCTCAATCGTAAGAAAATGATA